TTTAAGATAAAACTGAAAACTCATTTATTTTGCACACTGAAGGAACCATAATATTCAACTGATGACATACTTATTATTTTTAACTTGCAACTGCATTCTATTTTATTTTGTGTGTAATTATAGTGTTCTTCCTATATTCTACTTGTATAATGTATATGTTTTGTAGTTTGGGAGTGACTTATCAAACTTCCCACTTTAAAATGCTATTGCATTTCTAATGATTTTAAATTTATCCTGATATTACATGTATATATGTCTTTGTAGTTTAGGAGGGACCTATGGAAGATTAGTTTTTTTTGCAAACTAAATACGTTGCCTCATTAAATAAAGTTTTTATTATTATTATTATTATTATTATTATTGGTGATAAAGCGCTGCTTTGGTTAGATTGTTAACCAAAATAATATAATATTTGGCACGAAGAACGCTCAAATAAAATATAGTACTAATGTTGATAATCAATGCTCATTGTAGCCCACTAGTGGGTTTAGTGTCGGTCAGTTTGTTTCTTCTGACATACACTTGGGCGGATGTCTTTCATAACCACACTAAGCAGACACACCAAGAAGCAGTTATATACGTTTTAGGGTGACATAGTTTTCAACATACGTAAAATGACCACTTTCAGATAACTCCCAGAAAATTCCACACGATTCATTCATTCCCAAAGTACTGCAAGATTTTAAGTCGACCCTATCATACCCGACCAATATCAAAGTTTTAGGGTCACAACATTTCGAGTAGGAGCTTTTGTGGAATTTGGGCAAAAAATTGGTCGAAATATGGCAAGTTTTGACCAAAAACAACAATTTCCAGTTATACCAGAAGTTGCCATTAAAAATTTTCACTGAATCGCATGACTTCTGTCGCCTAGGGGTCCCAATAGACCATATAATATGATTGAAAATTGCTGACCCTCACACTGTTAAAATTATATGTATATTTACAGTTATAAGTATAGTAAAAAAATACAGTGCAGCATTTGTCAAATCACATGGTTTGTTAACTTACTTTTAAAACGATGTCGATGCATATGAATACAAGGCTTATGTAAAATTACATCAAATTTAATGTAGTAAGACAACCATATGTTAGATTACATTATATGAGCTGTATATTAACAGAAATGCCGTTTAAAGTATTATTTTTACAGAAAATTGTAAATGTCGATGCATATGAATACAAGGCTTATGTAAAATTACATCAAATTTAATGTAGTAATACAACCTTATGTTAGTTTACATTATATGGGCTGTATATTAACAGAAATGCCGTTTGAAGTATTATTTTTACAGAAAATTGTAAATTTACTGTCAAATAGTGGTCACATCAGTTATTCCCCCTTTGACCACATATCGAATTTTGTGCAAAATATTGACTGTTCTGTCAGTCACTTTAGTCCATTTTAGAGAAATAGGTTATTCAAAATCTGAATGCACCGAACTGGCTAATAAAGACATGCATATGCCATACATTGAGTTGTATGGGGCATTTTGCTTGGACGGTGTCATGGCATCTACTCTTCCATTGTAAGGAGCAGAACAGTAGCACATTAAACCCCATTTCATTTAATTTCTTTACTTTTGTCTGCGATATCACCTCGGTGGAAGCGGACGTAAAATACAACTAACACTAACTAATTTCTTTACTGTCTGCGATATCACCTCGGTGGAAGCGGACGTAAAATACAACTAACTCACACAATTTCTTTACATTATCGAATGTTGTGTTACGTGCTCGGCTGAAAGTTCCACAAAACATTCTGTGTTCGCCAGGATAGAACCTTGGACTAATTAGCCAAGCGGGGACAAACACATTCTTTTTAGTAATGTTACCTTGGCAAATTACAAATTTATGTAAATTAACATCATGTACTCCATTTACAGATATGTAATTTTACCTTGGATGTATAATAGCTAGAGGTAAATATACATTACAGACTGTGAAATAACATGCAATGTTAAAATACAGTTATAACGATGGCAATATTTCTGCCAGTTAAAAATACATAATAATGTATAATAATTTTAACAGTGCAGGGTTATCGTTTTTTTGGGGTTTTTTTTTTCAATTTTTGCATGGTCCTGTCGCGGACGCGTTCTTCATTTCATTTCACCTTGAATCGCCAACATCAAGAAACAACAATGATGGCTATAAATTTGTCAACAGTATCAATTCTAGTAGATTGGCCGAACTTGACAACAGACAAACATTAATGTCCTGTATGAAGTTTAAGAGCGTGAACCAAAGTACAATCTGTAATTAATGTGGCGCAGACTGACGTCACGTGTCTAGTACAATTATAATAATTTATTGAACTTGTATAGGGCGAAAATCGTACATTAATAATAATTTATTGAACTTGTATAGGGTCGAATTCGTACATTTATAATAATTTATTTAACTTGAATAGGGCCAAAATCGAGCTTGTACAAAAGAAAAATATATAATTATAACTACGCAATGTAAACAATATATAAAGAATATTATAAAAGTAAAATATTCGGTAAAGCAAGATAATGAACATGAACATGAGAGAGAGAGAGAGAGAGAGAGAGAGAGAGATCGCTATTTGACAAGTTAAGCTAATATTCGAAATTAAAAACACGAATTAGAATCCAATATTGATCAATTTCAATCAATCTTGATGTTGTTATCTTGCCGTGAAACTATAGGATCCTAATATCCAATATTTAAGACATAATGAACATCTTATAATCAATACAGGTGTATCATATGGTTTCGGGTGCCATTTTGTAATGAACAAATAAAAACATATCCTACAACACAATGTGAAAGTAATTAGTAATGGCTGATTCACAAATGATAAAATAATAATTTAAAAACGTGTAGAATGCACTAAGCAGATGTAAACGACTGCCGTTCAATTTAAACGTATTTCATCGAAAATAATTAATTAGAAATTACAATATCATTTTCAAAAATCTAATATAAATCACTTTACATACATTCATATTACATTTATATGTGCTTTTAGAACCTTGTTTTCTATATCAAGGTTCCAAAAATAAATAGAGCCATACACCCTTTAAGGTTAAATGTAAGATTTAGATAAAGAGTTGGACGTTCTTGCTATAAAAACAAATAATGAAAAATGAATATATTGAAATGACTTAATTCTAAGCGAAGTTATGAGTGATGGAAGATATAGCGTTGATTGTTTATTATCTTAGCAACGGAAATAGACATACGAGACTTAGCCTCGATTGTCCATTTTATCATTCATTTTTTAAATCTCAAGGATGTTTAATTCTATTTAAATTTCGGCCATCATAGGCTCTAGATAGCTGATTATAGACTTGGCATGTCTAAATAATAATTTATATAACATTTGAAGTCAAAGTTTAACTCTTACATAAGGACTCTGTAACCTTTTATCTAATTCCGCAGTTGTTTTTATTAAAGAGCAATTACGTAAGAGCTAAACCTGCCTTTGGTGACAGTCGATCTTTGTTTCCGCTTCATATGTTATATTAAAGATACATCATGTAAGATTTAGATAAAGCGCTATAAATCAAAATATGACTGAACTGATCTAATCTATTTAATATCGGAGAAATCCGATGCCATCGAGAGTTGATTATTGCCTGGATAAGTTAATTAATGTCTAATTAATAATTTAGAAAAAATTTAAGGCCTAAAGAAAGACCCCCAATAGGCAGATTTAGCTCTTGCATAATGTATGTTTAACTATTATTTAGGCGTTTATTCACATGACACCTATAATCATATCTCCAGGACACCGGATGTCTGTACAATTGCCATTTCATAATTTAACGTAAAAATGGATAACATAACCTAGACTTTTTATGGTAGGAATTGTACTTGACAATCGAGACTATATTGCCAATATTTCAAACACTTATAATTGCGCTGAAAATAAAGTAATTTAACTAAAATTCAAGAATCCTAATGTATCTTTGAGAGTAACAATATTTTTATAGTCATTTTTGTCAGGGGTATTTTGGAGGGTAGGCCTGGCCTATGTAGTTATTTTGTCTCCAACAAAAGGGTAGGTGAGCTGACTTTGCCCCCATTGGTAACCCGTCTCGATCAGTGGGCGGGTGTTTAGCGGTTGTTTTACTGGTATCTTATCACCCGTTCCATTGCATTATATAATATATGGTTGTCTTTTGAGTGATGACAAGGTCGACCATCCATAGTTCATTATCACTGTCTCTTTACTTTTTGAAGATAGTAAACATGATTTTTTTTTTAAACAAAATAATTATCTATTTTTTAACTATTACAGCGAGAACTGTCTGCTCTTTTAGGCTCTACCTAATCCTACCTAATGCCGCTTTAAATTAACTGGCTACTAAAATAATGTTTGTTTACAATAAGTGATGTTTATAGAGAGAAAAACAATGGACTTTATATAATAACATACAAGAATATCTGCAAGTATAGGCATGAGAGCTCACCGTGAGAATTTATGCGCATTCAACAAATAATTAGATTAATTTAGATTAAAAGCTGATAAATGTCAACAAAACCGCCTAGCTTTTATACACTCGTTGTTAATGTAAGAACAGTATTGGGTGGAAAAAAAACCAAACCCTCACATACCCGGTATTAACAAATAAAAAGTAAAAATCCGAATTCTTTTAACGGATACATGGTAGTTGCGTACGTTGGATATAGGCCTACGTGGGTCCGAACCCGGTGTTAGCCGGGAAAATTTCACGGGGTTTTTCAGCCCCTCGGTGCTGAATGTCTAGTGTAACTATTAGAAACAGTCCGAATCTACTGAACTTAGAATACTGGCAACGAAAGAAACTCGACACCTCTCACCTACCGTGACCATAAAAACCCCACAGTTACTAATAAATACAATGCAGGTGTTCGAATTGTAGCGGCCGTCTGCTAACTTGGGTCACTTCACTATGAAAAGCATGATCCGTTTGATCACGATACTAATCTATGTCCTCGGGGGTGTATTGAAGTCAATTTGTATAAAGTATAATTAGAAATATTACCAATCATTACAACGTGCGAACTCGTCTTGCTTACATTTACCATTTGACAAAACTATGGTTCACCGAAGAAGGAAAAGGAAACATAACAAATATCAACGCTCAAAATATTTATATTTGCGAGTCCTTGGAGAATAATATGGGTTCAAATACATATTTAATGAGACATTTATTTATTTCTAGAATAATTATGATTTGTGGGTATCATAATATTGTTTAATTTCATGATACCCCAGCATATTTATGCCCCAGATGGTTTACCATAGAATTTCCCTCCAGTCCTTTTGGAGTTATCTCCCTTCAAACATTTCTACCCTTAGTCACGTGTATCCAGGTTTCGGCAGGTATTGCACGAACATTTTTTCAAGACCGTAAAAACGATACATCAGTTACAAATGAAATGGGGTTTAACGTCCTAGCTCTACTCCGGTTGGCTAATGAAGACGGGCATACGCCATATAGTGTGATAAGATTTATGTGATTTTGTTATTTATTTAACTTTATTACCTATTCTTTTCCTTATATTTCAGTTATACCAAGAAAAGCGAACTTTTCATGGTTCCGGCTGGTGAATCATCAAAAGAATTCAGATTAATCCACGAGAGAAAAAATAAGCTTATCAATTTAGAAGAATTCATGAGAGAAAAATAAGCTTATCAATTTAGAAGTAATCATGGGCCAACTATATTTATTCCCAAAATATGATTTAATAAAAAAAAAGTCTATAGAATTCTATAGTACCCATTCCTACAGAAAACTATAGTGGCCCAATTTCCAAACTACAGAATACTACAGTATTCATTCCTATACATAACTGTAGAATTTCCTACAGAAAGTGCAATCAAAAAACCTATATAATACTACAGTATTTTCTTATAGAAATTTTGCCATAAATCTGTAGGAAAAACTATAGGATATGCGCTACAGAAGCTGTAGAATATTTGGGGCCGTTATTTCCTACAGGCCCCCAAAATTCTGTAGAATACTATAGAATTTTATCCTATAGAAAATGGGACATGCCCCCCAAAAAACTATAGATTTTCTATAGAATTCTACACTGGTATTCTGTAGGACATTTTGCTAAGGGCTCTACTCCGGTTGGCTAATGAAGACGGGCGTACGCCATATAGTGTGATATGAGGGATGAGGGAAATTTTGCCTTGACAGCGGCACTGGCGCCCACTCTTATATCAAATTCCAACTGCACGCCAATGTGTACACGAGACCTCGGTTTTTCGACTGTCCTTGTCAGGCCCTCCGTCCTGCATCACTGACAAGGGGACACCACGCCGTAACAATTCCAGCGTACCCGCTACCTCCATGCTAGCGAGCCAGCGTAATATTCACTTAGCCACCGCGGCCCCCACAACAGTTGCAGAATATCGGAATGTTTAATCATTTGAATTAAGATCAGTCTTGTTTAATCCGTTCGGGGCAGAAAAAGAAGGCGCTAAACCCCATTTCATTTCATTTCATTTTGAACGGAACCAGTGAAAATTTTGAATAGCCATATTGTAACAGTGTAAATCTTCGATAATAACTAAAGACTGGAACTATCCTTGAGACTATTTATTACCGGAAAACATTTAACATCATATACGGAGAACAGCACGTCCGACAAGCAGAGTAACTGTCCTGGAAACGGGATGAAACCTAGAATGCTATATAAATGTACAAATCGGTATTTATAATAAAATAGTATCTAAGAAATTAACAATATACACCAACTATACTAATAACAATTAAAGAGGTAAGATTAAAATATGAAAGAGATTGCAATAAAATAAAACAATAAGGTAGTAATTAAACTCATTAATGTGTCAGCTGTCAACGATCAGTCATGAGATAAGTAGCTTAACGTCTAATTAACAACGCAGGATTAATAGAAACATAAGAAAAATAGAAATGTTTAAATGAAAGAATGAACAATGAATGAATGATATATTGAAAGAAGGAAATACCAACAATTCACAATATTATCACCATTATAATATATCCATTTAAATTGTACTGCTTTTTAGACTTTAACCAGTGGTGTGTAGACCTGAGGGTGGGGGGTGCTCCGGCCCCGGGCATTTATTTCAGGGACGGGGGGTTGAGGTGCATTAAATCGCAGAGTGAAATTAAATTCATTATCGCCGTTAACTACAATCTGCCCTACTTATCTTATGTATTTTATCTGACATGAGTCTTGAGGGGCATACAATTAAGGACCTCATTTTGCCCTAAATATTGGATATCAGAAGCCCATCTTTGCACGGTAAGATAACAACATCAGTGTTGAATTAAATTGACCAATATGTCGTGTTTGCAATGTCGAAGACTGTCGATGATATACATGGGCGTGGATTGGGGGGTACGTGGGGCGCACCCCCTTAGTATCGGAAGGGGGGGGGGGAGGCGAACAGATCTCTGCCCCCACCCTCCATGATTTTGATCGCAAGGACAGATTTTCAGGTTTTTATCCACATGAATGACCTGTTCTGAAGGCTATCTAACCACACTGATCTTCGCGATATCTTCTCCCTTAAAGTTGCAATTGCAAATTTTCAAGTTATATTTTTAAAATGTATTAAAATAAAGCCTTAAAATTGATGGTATCCATAAACAGTCCTACCTTGTTAAAGAATAAGCCTATAATTCGCTATTGCCAGCTGAGAAATTGGCAAAAATATCATTTTTAACTTTAAATTCCAACGCTGGAAAATGGCTGCCCCATGTTGTCAATAGCAAAACAGGGGAGGTAATTGTGTTGTTATTTTCTGTGTCATAGATTTTTAAGGGTGGGAAATAATGCCCATGACCGTATAATAGTGATTTGATAACCTATTGAGCAAAAGACATAGAAATAATTATGTTTTGACTTTCTTAGAAAATTTGAAATTCTCGCTTTAATTGACCGATCGCAGCTATCAATTTTTCCATATCATATTACCCCTAGATACTGCTTTCATCGAAATAACACTGGTACAGTAAACTGTTCGTAATTATTATTTTGGCTTGGTAATGAAATGTTTATGATTCCAGGGTTCGTCCGACCAGGTCCGACCCCTCCTCCCCCTCTCCAAAAAAAAATGTTATGACAAATCCACGCCCTTTATGACATTGAGTTAGCGACTTGCTTACTTTAAACTCCTCGGCTCTCCAACCTTGTGGGTTTCTAACATGACCGTATATTAGTCCAGAAATGGCACTCTCTCTCTCTCTTTAAACTCAATTTTTTTCCAAGTTGATAAGTAGCATCGTTAGAGGTTACTGTTGCGTACGTACACCAATTAAGAAATATTTTCTCACGTATAGGTAAGTATTAGTTCGCCCGTCTTGTAGAATAATGTAATAATACATTAATTATATGAGTGTCAATCAAATTGAAACTAACCTGTCGCAAGTCATTGTTACGATGCATAATACTACATAAATCAGATTGACTATATCCTTTGAGAAATGGAAGATGTCCGAACAGCATGGTCATTTGACGTATATAACACGCATCCTCGAGATTATCTTGTCAGTATATTTCGTGTTCCCGAAAACCACGGGAGAAACAGTGGCATTAACGAGCTCCTCCAAAAGGAACTTTTAATGTAAGAATTTGTATGCAACAAACGTAAACAACCATGTGGATTACCTTAACAAGTTCGATTCTGTTATGTTTTATACGGTTTATTCCGGGAATGGTGATAACCGCTACTGATTTGGTGAGTACATCTTAAAATGATATCTTTTACTAGGTTTAAACATGTTTTCCGTGTTCATAATTTCAAGAGATAATAAGAAATAAACAACACACCGAGCATGACGCCATCACAGCTATCTTCGAATTGAGATGTCATTTGTAAAATAGATGTCGAATTGCCGTGGCCTTATGCTATCTTCGAAAAACGCCGCCCTAGCACAAAACGTCAATAGAAGGGCTTGTGGCCAGTAGCTGATCTAAACACTATACACTAACTGCAGACAATATTGTATTTAAAAATGAACTGCAGTTTAACGTCCTACTGTTCTGCTTCGACTGGGCTAATGAAGACGGGCGTACGCGATACAATGTGCTATGAGGGAAATTTTGCCCGTGCACGTCAATATGTAATGGGACCTCGGTTTTTCGTCCCATCCGACCGACTAGACAACTGCCCTTGTCAGGCCCTCCATCCTACACGACTGACAAGGGGGAACCACGCCGGAATATCCCGATGAACTTTCTCGACCAATGCAGGGATCGAACACGGGACTTTCAGGTTAGCGAGCCAACGTCCTACTGAATGAGCCACCGTGGCTCTCTCGTCTAATGAAATGTGCTATGAGGGACATTTTGCCCGGATAGCGGCTTGTCCACCTATTCTTTATTGAATTGCAACTTTCAAGGATTCCTCCATTGGTGCAGTCCTTGGCAACTGGAATTCGATATAAATAAAATAAAATGGGGTTTAACGTCCTACTGTTCTGCTCCGAACTGGACTAATGAAGATGGGGGAATTCGATACAGGCCGTAGCTCCGCTTCCCGGGAAAAATTGCCATCTCAGCACAGTAAAGCGTATACACGTCGGGGCAGAACAGTAGGACGTTAAACCCATTTTCATTTCATTTATTTTCATTTGCTGCAGATTTAAATCATATTTCATTCATCAAATAATGGAGGAATTAACTACCTTTCTTCATTACTAAGAAGGGCGTGGGTGGGGGTCTAGTGGTTTTACGATTACGCGTGGAATCATAAATTCTGTTCTTGAGTCAAGTGGCGTCATTTGATTTCCCGCTTGAACGTGACAAGGAGTAGGGTCGCCTGTCCAACCCCGTGGATGTTCTCCGGGTCCTTCGGTTTCTTCCCACTGCTAAAGTCCCCTACGCACAAGAGAAATATTGAAATGAAATTGTTAATCCCGAAATATCTAGTTTGTGTCGAGTGGAAGTTAAGCCCCATTTCACTCTGTCTTATTGATTTTAATACCTTTTCTTCAATACTATTTGATCAGGTCCCCTGTGAAGTACTCCCAAATGGAATGATAGCCCTAATTGAGAATAATGATGCAACCAACGAGGGACAATATGGCAGATCGT